CTAAGTAGAACTACGTTTTAGTTAAAAAAACCACAAACTAATCAGTCAGAAATTTTCACTTCATTTTTATATGCATATTACAAAAACATATTATCAGACTGAGCTGAAGTCCGCGCCATTTTAGATTCACTGTCAGGGCAAGAAAAATATTGAAGTTCCAAAAGATTCAATATATCTACCTGCTTCTACGTTTACATCAACGCGGTATAAACCTAATGAATAACATCTCAACATAATTTTGAGAGCTACACAGCCTGATATTGACTAGAATTCTCGAAAGTCTAAAGAGCTGTTGACTGTGGGTTTTATACAAATTGTTTTCCATTTGAATCATCATTTACATAATAAGTTTAAATTGTTATATAAAATTTTTAGTTGCTTACCTTCTTTTGCATTTAATTATGAGCAACAAAATATTGCAGTACCTTGCGCATTAACAAGCATAATTTCTTACAAAAGGGTGCAGCAAAAAGTGTTTGAATTTAAACCGAAGAATTTCCAACATAATTCTGGTACCGCTGTAACTGATTAATGAACAATTTACTCTAAGGATGTCAATCTGTTCAAAGAGAACTTGTTAAAAAAAATTAGACTTTGCTGGATTGTATCATAAGGGGAAAAGATAAAACGTTCAGTTAAGCCATTCTTGCATTTAAATAACTAACCACTGTATCATCACCGTGTCTAATGAATGAAAGCTTATTAAACGCTAGTGATGAATAAAATTTATTTAAAGTTTTTTTAATTTGACTGGGAATGATACGAACATGGAAAAAATTGAAATATTATTCACATTCGTATATATCATAAACTGAGGTTGGTCTGAAACGTCCGTTGTGTCAGAGTCACGCACGCAAGTAAATATTTTATGCGTTGCTGTCTTGTTTGCGACATGCTAAAACATATATTCATCTTTCGCATAAAGAAGAGATGGAATCTAGGCTTGGACGAGTTACGGTTTTTGACATACTTTGGCGTACCAATATACTATGATGTTTACGCAGTAGCATGTAAAGGATACTAGCTTTTGAAATATAATTTAAAATGAACGAGAGACGACTCTTTGAGAAAACAAAATGATGCGAGATGCATCTGGCACTACAGTTGTCCAAAAACCATGATGTCAGTGTTATCTTAAATGTCTCGCCTTAGGAACGTCGGTGCAAGAACGCGGTGCATACACCGTTGAATCTGGTCTTGTAGGAGTTAAGCGTTATTTATCATGTACTACCCATATTCAGCTCTATTTACTTGTCTTTATTATATACTGATAACTAGATCAATTAAGTTTTACTAATTACAGCAAACTATCCTGTTCTAATACCGTGATTCTATCATTTACAAGATCAAGGGCAATCCAGCAAATACTCGAGATGAGGAAGAACAGCAGAATAATTTTGGTCAATTACCTTATTGATTTCACGCGGACTGCTTCCGATCACAGCCGTGTGACCTTTACATTGAAAATTGGCAGCGACGCAATGACGCAAGAACACGTTTTCTGCCAAACCTGGTTCAGCAAAGAACGTGTCTGATATCTAAATAATTAAACATACCATGAACGTAAAATTAGTTTTATACAAAGTCACACATGGCCCTGTTACGCCTGCGATCAGTAGTCGTCAGACCGCTAAAACGGCAATGAAATGTGTTACTGGGTGAACGCTTTAGTGATTAGTGTCATTTAGTGACTAAATTTTTTCCTAAACTTAAAACTGAACTTAAAAATGAACCAGCCAACTTGAAGCAGGAGAAAAAGACAAACAGAAACAAAGCAAGCAGAAAGAAAACAGAAAGTGACGAAGATAACGGTACGAAGATGATCAGCACACAAATGACATGGCAGATAAAAGAGAGTGATGAGTCAGAATGGTTGGTTAACAACAAGTCTGCCATAGAACTCCTTTCCAGATTCACGATTCCGACGATCAGACACTGGCACAAGATCGAGAACGACAATTGGTGTAAAAATCGCCAGTTACTACGGCGCATTGGCATAAACCGACACCGTCAGCAGCTGGTGTAAAAGACAAAATGTTTTTTGATTAAAAACATTATCAATGATGCCATGAATATGTATTTTGTTCGAGTAACAATTTCGAGTTGAAGTGTTAACATACCTGGTTTGTACCCTACTCAGTGATGAAGTGAGGCGTTGTGACACTGTTTAAGAGGTCTGCTTCGAACAGACAGGAACCTTCGTGCAGGATTTGATTCCGCTCGACGGAAATCTTTATCTTATTCACCCATTGTTTCTGGCCTGGGTTGATCAGCCGGTAGAGCATTGAACTCAAAACTGACAGGCCCGGAGTTCAAACCCCGGTCGGGGTCACTGGCCATTCTTCCTTCCGACGTTGATAAATAAGTACTACGATGTGGGAAGCAAGTAGGATACCACAAGTTATACTTGTCAGTAGCCTCTGCGTTAAACAAAAGGGCACTCATGGCTGATGGCATAAAAACGGAGATCATCATCGCACCATCAACTTAATGAAAAAAGGGCGTCAAAATGGCACAATCATGAAAGTGAAGAAAGACCGACAGTCCATCCTTTTCCTTCCAGTGATGTTGTGCTGCATCCATGCACTACCGATACTCAAATGATGATGCCTCGATTTACTTAAATGGTCTCCCATGCGTCTAAAAGCAATTTGGACGATGTACCACTGGTGTAATTTGGCATAATGACGTGCATCGTCAATCACTACGGCACTACTTACACTTTATATGCAAAAATAAAAATGATAAAGATATAAAGATGATGAGCAGGAAACTGCGGAAGGTCCAGAATGATTAACAGTGAGTCTGCCAAATAACTCGGCTCCAGACTCGCGATGTTTCGTGCTTACTCTCAGGAATCGTGATCAACACGCCTGCTGTCAATCCCTTCCTTCAATCCGTAAGTACGGGCAATATCTGACAATAACTGACTGAATGATGATAAACAAAGAATTGAAGAGACAGACGATGAAGAACAAAAACATGCTCGTAATCAAGTTGAAGAGAGTTAACAAGACGACGAAGCAAAATATGAAGCGTAAGACGAAGAAGAGAACAGAAATGACGAATTATGTGGAAAAACCTAACAGTCAACTCATAAATCTTACCCTAACTACAGCAAGTTGTTGCGGCATCGAGGATTTTAGGCCAAAAGTACCTGATCCAGAACTCAGCTACAACTGGAACATCCAAATGCTTATGTTACACGATGGCTATATGACAGTTTCAAGCAATTGTTCCGTTAACAGAGTGACAATACGAAGTAAAGGCACGAATATAGTGGAGGCCAATAAGATACACAAGGCAACATATCGAGGGCATCATATTCAATGAACAATCTCATATTTGAAACTTCTAACAATTCTTCCGCGCTGCCATGTGTGCGTGTAAAAAAAGTTAATAATAACAGCCACGACTACCTGACCACCATTCATCTCAGTTATTTTTCCACACTTACGTCAAATGGTCTTGAGTTGAAAGAGAGGTGTTCCAAGTCTCCGCAAACTGTCAAAATGTAAGAAAACGATGATGTCATTTCGACCAGCATCTCTTCGAACGTCGCCTAGAGGAAATACTACCTTCTACATGTTTAACACAGGTTTCAATGCGGAAAATACATTATTTGCAAGAATAAGTTCGCCAACTGAGAAAAGACGAAAAGAAAAAAGATAAAACAAATGTTTTAAGTGCGTTTTCATGGATACAAAAAAATGACTTTCGCATAACAAAATCATTATTATGCAAAATATTACCCACATTATCATTTTATTATCAACGATATATAGTAACTGTTATCAATTAACAATGACAGGATACAGCTCATATGTTCAACACCGGATCCAATCTCAGGTAGCATCACCATATCGTGAAGTAAGTAAACTAGTGATACCTTATCATGTTAACTGACCTCAGTGCTTAGAAGTAAAGGTCAGAATGGCACTATTTCTGACAGAAAGAAAGCCAGCGTATTATTGCGCGAACCAAAATACGCACAGTGAAAGGTCTACTGTCAACACAGTGCATGGCTGGAGATGTCGAACGTTCACTGACTCAGCAAATACCTCCTAATACCTACAAACGTAACGTTAAGTAGGTATCGCAAGTATCAAAAGGACTGTTTAGGAGCAAATATTCTTCATACGTATTATGATAACAGAAATTGCATCTATCATGTACATTATATACGCGTATACATAAAAAATATGATATACAAACTCTGTTATCATTATCTATGTGACCTCGCATTATCTGTACAATTTTATTGAAGCCAACTCCAGAATGAGCACAAATTATCCATGAAGCTAAGGGAATGGTGTATGGATCAGTAATCGAGCAGTAAGCCTGACTCTACTAATAACCTGTACGCGCTATTCTTGCACCAGCGCTTCCGAACAATAACAGGAACGGTAAAATTGCAACTGGATTCCATGTCCACTTAAAATGCCCGGAGGATTTAAGTAGACACGGACAACAGCCCAACTCGACCGAAAAGAAAAACTCGGATACAGTGGTGGTGCAAAACAGCATCACATTCGAAACACTTCAATAAGGGACACGTTAAAGTTAGCACCAATGACAGACGGTCACAGAAGGCATGTATGTACATTACGATATGCAGAACCTGTGACTATATTTGATAATACCGTCAAAACATACAGTAACACAAAAGATACGAAAGGGAACGTCAGGAAAGGTGGTACACTGTTGTACACAATCACATGAAATAGCGCCAGTTGTTGGGAAGCTTGAATAAAAAACATGAAAATACATACGGAAGAATTGATCGTTACAACTGATCAATGCAAAATATAACGTTATGAGGAATAACATTACTCACAAAAATATTAATAAAGGTATCTAGTAAACGGTTCAAAAATGGTACACTCATGCCAATTCAATCTGTCCATGCTTCATTTAAAAAACTCTGACCATTCTCGGGGTAGACAAATAGTCTTAGGCTGAAACTTAATGCAAAGCGTACGTCTAAGCTTAGACGTAGGCCGAAATTTGGGTTTACACATTGGGATAAAATTAAGATTACGTCTAACCATAGGATTGAACAAACTTAAGTTCATTTTTAACCTGAGCTTTAACATCAAGTTCAGCTTCAGCATAAGTTTAAGCTCAAGCTTAGGCTCAAGTTCAGGTTTTAGTGTTGGCATCAGCTTACGATTCAGCTTAGGCTCAAGTTAAGGCCTGAATTGGAAGCTTACATATTGGCCTAAATTTAAGGTTAGCATAACTTTTTGCCAGGCTTCAGCGTCAGCCCAGGGTTAAGATCACGCTGAAGGATAAGTTTAAGTTTAGGCTAGGTTTTTCTCTTAACGTTGGACACAAACATAGGCTTTAGAATGAGCTCTAGCTTGAGCTTAGGCCAAAACTTAAGCATTAGCTCGGGCATCAGCTTAAGCTTGGTCTTAAGATTAGGCACGGCTTAAGATTAGGCTAAGCTCAAGTTTTAGCTCAAACTTAAGTCTAAGTTTAACCATAAGCTTAAACAATTGACTATTCATAGGCCTAAGCTAAAGCTTATGTTCACACTGAAACTTAGGCGTAGCCAGTTTTGAAACCAAAATATCATAATTATTGATTCATTAGCAGACGGCAAGACCTGGAAGGAACAAATCATACGAAGGAGTGAAAAAAAAATTAATCCCGAATATTACAGCTCGTTAGCTCCTGATAAAAGGTAGGAGCTAAAGAAAAGAATAAACTATGGATAGTGGAGTGGAAGGATAATAAGAGAAATTATTTTAAAATACGCATGAGCAATTTAATGGTCACAGATACAACACAGAAGACCGGTAATAAAATACTTATTTTAATGCCAGCGTTGTGGCAAACAAAAGTCGCCATCTTTTGTCTACTCTCTATTATTCGAAACGTATGCAGTAAAATCAAGACTTCAGCATAAGATCTTGTGTTCTGTCTATAACCATCAGGTCGCCAATGCATATATTAAAGAAAAAGATAGAATGTAAATGAATTTTCAAAATCATCGGTAAGAGCCACTAGACTATAGTTCTTTACTTTTAATTAAATGGATGGGGTGGGGCAGAGTGTCTAGCTTCTGCTGATACTTGTTCTGGATGTAATGCTGATATTCATAAAGATTAATCCATCTTTTATGTAATGAGAATTTGAAAACAAAACTGAAGAATCTACAAACGAAGAAATCCTTCTTTCCTACCGTAAAAATGACTGCTTTCAACCTGGCGACCATATCGCTGAAAAATAGTCGAAACAGGGGCTGCAATTTTAAGAACCAGTCAAGACGAGTCTCGCTCATCACCAACGCAATGGAATGTATGCAGCCTTTGTTTCCGCTTTTAACCGAGAACATATACGCGCCGGTTACCAGGCTTCGGTCAGGCAGTCGAAGAACCTGCAAAGACAGGTTCCAAACGAAAGTGGGGATGCAACAAAAAGCTACCTTCAGTTCCATCGAGTCGGAAAGACTATGGCGAAATATCTCGCTGCTCAGCACGTGATAAGCAATGTACTGGTCATCTTGTGTATCGAATGCGGTGAATGACGAACTACTGTTCGACTTCAGTGAGTGACGATCCTGAAACGTGACAGCAAATCCAACATAGATTAAGCAAGTAATATGAAATTAAAGGAATGCACGTCTGCTACTAGATATGAGCGGAAGGGGCGCAGGTTTCTGTTCATCCAGCAATCCGGAAAACTTTACGTATCATCATCCATGTGCGACATTCTCATGTGTTTAATATATCTTAACCGAGTAAACTTAGGTCTACTCAATGGCCATCTGCAAAATAGCTCTGTAAGAAAACGTAATCTTGTAAGTTATTCATAAGTATCCAAATCATTCAATTATATCACGGTTTGGAGAGGAGGTCTATCAAAAATGATGATACGTCAGAACGCAGTAGTTCATAGCTTATCGAGCCATGTCAAATATGCAATCCTTTAAAGTAACCATATGTCTGTCACTCGTATTTCTGACAGTAATCCTGCGATCAACATCCAGCAGCTGAAACCATTGGAGAGTGTGAGTAATTATGAAACCAAATGCTTCGCCCTTCAACTTAGCTGCACTTTCTTAATCATCAATAACTGATTACCTTCAGCATTACTGGATTTGCTTACATATTCGCATGTCTGTTTCA